TACGAAAGGATCATCTGTTGTTACTTGTATCATAAGTTCCCATTCTCTGGAGATTTTGCCAAGTCAAGCCTCAGTGAAATTAAAGGGGGTTGGAAATTCCAAATAAGCTTGTGTCACATCCATATATGTGATGTGTGTAAATATGTAGCCCTAGAGAGAAACTCTGTATTAAAACTGAATGCTGTGGATCTCATGATAGTTTTCTGTGTAATAGAGTTAATATAAAGAGAACCTATTTTAAATTGCCTATTGCAGACAAAATGTTATAATCCTAGTTCTTTTAGTGTTTTTAATTTCGCATAAATGCTTTAATAATTACAGCCCATAAGAATGTTAAGGTGACCACTGTGCAATATGAACTCTGTAGAAAGTGATACAGAGGGACAAGTATTTTAAAATTTCAATTTAAGTGAGTATATTTGTTTTGCAAAAGGACACAGAGCAATAGCTGTAACCAAGATTTCATTTTGCTGGTTCTGTTTTCAGAACCCAGCATAATAATTAGTGATGCAATTAGGCATGCGGCTACTCTTTCTCCATGACTGCTTTGAGAATTTATTGGGTTGGATTTGCTTGAGCTGCCATTTATGTGAAGGTAGCATTAATGCTTTCAATTCTGTGTTGGTGATTGTACTTCTCTGCTTTTGTTGGGACATTTGCACAGAAGAACACTCCATTGAGGCACCAGGTCATACAAATGGCACCTCTCCATCTGAGTGTTTTAGGTCTGTCTTACTAAGTGTTCCTACAATTATTTTGACAAGCTTTGAGAAGGAGTTACTTGATACAACCCACTGCTATTCAAAGCCACAGCCTATTTCAAACATACAAGAAATCTAGTGTGCAGGTTGTTATTTAAAGTTATACAGATGTGATCAGCTGTCTCACTGATATTTCATATCTGGTCATGATGCTGTTGGATGGAATTTGAAACAAAATCTATCCAGTTGTACAATTAAATATCTTAAGCAGGGCCTCACTATTTAGTCTAGTAATCATTTAGACTAATGTTTGTTTGTTTGTTTGTTTTTAATATCACATGCCACATTTCAGTCAACTTTCAGTGAAAACCCAACACAAATGAGATCTGATCTTACCATAACTTTTAGCATTGCCACAATAGTTGGTCCTCTCAATTTCTTAAAATCTCTTTAGAGATTTCCAGTAAACTCTCCTACAGAAGCAACTATCTTCCTCTTCTTTACAAGCAACCAGCTAAACCCTGTTTTTATGGAGTATGAGAAAATACTTTGAAGATCATGCCCATGCTTTTGCTTTTCTCCAAAAATGATATATCTAAATATTTGAGCTGTTCTGAGTACAACCTGCCAGTTACGATGTGCCTGAAGGAAGTATGTCCCTATAACTTGGAGAGCATCTGGCAGCATCTCTGTTTACAATTTCTAATGTCCTTTATGTTCTTAAATGACATTCCTCTTCTCTCCATATAGGAGAAAATCAGATGCTTGCTGTTAATTATACATCTATAATTTTAGTGCAAAAAAAGTATGACTTTCTTACAAAACTGTTTTGATTCTTGTGAAAATGTATGTTGATTTAATTGGTTAATCAATTAAGGCATATACAGCTAATCAGTTAACATTGTATTCATTAACTGACTTGGTAAATTGAAGAAGAAACTACACCAGCGCTGAATAAATTTCAGATAGTTATGCCATCCCAGGAAAATTAACTTGAGAAGACAACTGTTTAAATATCAGCAGTATGATGTAGGGTGATGAATTGTAGCAGTATACTCAGAAATAATCTCCATGGGAGTTTTCTCTGAAAAGCGTGTAGAGCCTAACTTCAGCAAGGGGAAGGTGCTCTCTATCACATCAGCTTGTGAGATGCAAAACTTCTTGATTAGGAAACTATACTATGTTATGATTTCTATCTTGCTTCTAATGTTTCAAATCATGCTTAAAGTGAGGTTGAACAACCCAAGCCCTTATGCTGCTATATAGCTCAATTTTTGTACCTTCCCAGCCCCAAATATTTTATCAGTGAAATTTTGCAATAAATGATTATTTCAGTGGTGCATTTTCCCTTCTTTCTGGAAATATAAAGGTTAAAATAGAAGTTGATTTTCCAGTAGGTTAACATGGTTACTTCTTTTTTAACAACCCCCCCCCCCCTTGAAATCCCAAAGCAGACTGAATATTGAGCTATCTACTTTCATATTGTCATAGCATCACCATCACGTACTTGCAATCCTCATAGCCTGAAACATTTTTTTTTCAAACCAGAGTTAGCTTCAGGAGCAAGGATATGATCAACCTTTATTTTAAAGCCCCAATATATATTTCTGTTACCCTTTTCCTTTACTTTGTATGCTCCCTTGAATTGCTTTGGACTTTTGTTTAGGAACTTGATTACAGTGAACCTCTCATCTTGCTTATTTTCATTTATAGATTTCTGTTGTGCAGTTGAAAAATGATAGTAGAACCTCAACTATTTTTAACAGCATAATAATAATTTGTGAGTTACCAGTAACCACAAACAACCAATCTCTTACTTTTTGCAATCAGAGCACACAATATGTGAACAATCAGTACACAAATCACCACATTTCATAGCTAACCAAGTAGAAAAAAAATATAGCGGTAACATATAGTATTTTATTACTGTGAACATTGTGTTGACCACAATGACACCTGCCCTTAGTGCCTGCCAGTACTGAGATCACGTTTCTTGATGGCTCAGAGAATTCTGCTACAATAAGGCGGTCAGTCTTTTGAAACATTTTTACCATTGTGGTTTTTCAGTTTTCCCCAAAACAAACATTTAAACAGGCAGCATCTACCACTCCTTCTGTTTTATATTTTTATTTTACAGCGCTCTGAGTTTTTGTAAGGGATGGCATTCAGAGTCATAAAGAAACAAACGTAGAGACCGTTTGATCATTGGTTTATACTGTATACCCTAACTCTAATTTTATAACAATGAATGTTATCAGGCTTGGATTTCTCACCTGAGATTTGCTATAGTTTTCTTCGCTGAAGAAAGGATAATCAGCTTTGGTTTTAAAGTCATCATTAAGATGCATCTCATTGTTTTGAGAATAAAACAGTACTCTTCATAGATTAGATTTTTGAGCAAGGAGTACAGGGGACTTTTATTTCTTTTTTCTTTTTTTTCCAGAGTGCCAGGAGATTCTTTTTAAAGAAATAGATAGTCCTCTAGCCAGTGGTTCACCAGTGAAAAAACATCTGGAATTCTAAATCGGGTTGTGTTTATCAACCATATTCTGACTTAGGTTTTGGGTTGGAAACAACACAGCCTGCCTATTATGCCATACTTTCTGGATGGATGGCATATGCTGCCTTTTGGGTAGCTTCCACTGAATGGTATAATGCTCACTTGTAACATTCTTATTAGTATAAAGCACTGTAGCAAAGTGTGTATAGTTGAGGCTGAAATAACCCCAAAAAGTCAATGTTGATGGAAAATGTAACTGTGACCAAAAGACAAACTAAACCTTACGTTTGGAAAGAGCATTGTGTACTGTTCAGCTTCAATACTATTTTTAATATTGTGAATAAAATAAATTTTATTTATTTATGGTGCTAACCACCCCCAGGTTTGGTTACCTCTCCTATAATTTGTCTGTTATGAAAATTTCTTTTTATTCTGAAGGCAAATTTTGTAGTAACCTACTACTAGGTACTAGGCTAAGCTTCCATATATGGTATGAGTAATTCATAATTTGGCAGCATTTGGCAAAATTGTTTTGAATACCAGCTGTTCATGGTTGCAAAGTTCTCCCAGTCCTTCTAGTAAGGGAATATTGATCTCAAAAGTCTTAATAGTAAAACCTTGTTTTTTGTTATTTTTTTAAAGGAGTTGAAAAGTCACATGGCAATTCACATTGTCATGGCTGAGGTCAGCTTGAAAAATGAAATTATGAAAGAATGACAGATGGATTATTTTCTGTGCTCTCAGCATACTCTTAACTCTACCAACCATTTACTATCTTAATCTTCTTAATGAACTGTTAAGCCTCAAGATGATCATGGTGGAATGAAAACTGACAATGCCTTGTGAGGTCCTCTGAAAACTTAATAATAAAAATAAAATTGTAGATGGAAGAAAAACTAGGGAAGGTAGGAAAAAGAATGACTGCATGGGTGTATATATGCACTTACATGCTTATGCCTTTCTGGAACATGCTGTAAGAGATGCTGTTTTTCAGGAGAAGTAGTGTGAACTGAACTTTTCCTGGAAATATTTCTTTGTTAAGACTTTGGATCAGGGGGAGAAGTTTTAACTTGATGAAATGTGAAAAGATTCCTAGAGCTGTTTAGAGTGCCAGCTGACCAGCATTGACAATGCATGCAAAAAGGGCAGAAATCAAAGGGGAGGGGGGAGTGTCTGTGTGCAATTCCTAAATATAATTCCTGATCTTAACAAATGCTCTTCTATGTTAACGTGTTTATTGGTAATGACAATGCCTTTATATGGAGTTTGCCTTATTAGGACCAATCAGGATGCCTTATGCAAATACAGCCAAAAAACAGGAGAAACCTGGTAGCATCGAACACATTTTATTAAAAGGCATATGCTTTTAACTGGAAAGCATGCTACCAGACTCCCCTTGATTTTTGGTTACTATAGACTAACACAGCTCTCCTACAATTTCCACAAATAAAGGATCTCACCTCCTTGCTCAGTAATGGCTGCTTGTTGTTTTGGGTATATTAAGAGTAAAAAGGGGAAAAAAACAACCCAGGTCAAAACATTTATTTATTTATATAATTTATTTATATAATTTTGTTTTATTTTTCAAAATAATCTTAAACTGGATATTCTTGGCACACATACATTGACCATATGCATGTTTTTTCAAACAACATGCTAGGAATGTAATGAACACAACTGTTTAATAACGCTGTGGGTGTACAAGATGAGATTTCTAAAATACAAGCAAAAAGGGTGTGATGAAAACTTGCTGGCAGTAAATCTATCTTAATTGTTGACAAGGATAGCTTCACTTTCCT